AGATTAAATTTAATATTTACAATAAGCAAAATACTTTGCTCTATTTCAAAACCAATTTAAATTATATTTTAATCGCTAATAATAGCTGATTTTAGCCATATTTACAATTCTGTCAGCACAACGTAATTCTCTTTATTAAAAAAACACTTTCAAAAATAAAATTTGCTTTTCTAATTGTGGTAGTTTCGCTGATTTAAAGTTTAATCCATCTGATTTGACACAAATATTACTTTCTTTTAGTTTAAAATATCGCAGTAAAGCATTTTTAACACAGAAGTTGGCGTTCTCATGGGGGTGTTGACAGTTCTGTTGACATCCTGATGCTTGGAAAATTTATCAAATTCTTTCTACGAGGGACTTTTTTTTTCTATAATTTTTTTTAACTACCCAGTAATCTTAAAAATTTAGGAAAATATTCTAAGTATAATATTTAATTTAATTTAAAGTACTTTTAAATTTAATGATATTTTCTGATAATCTCGCGCATGGACATCCGTATTCACAAAAATCGGCTCGTTTACACACACACACACACACACACACACACACACACACACACACACACACACACACACACATACACACACGTACGCACGCACACACACACAATATTCAAAATTCTTTTTAAAATACTGAGGGTCACTGAAATGTACTAAGCTTTTCCATTTATGAATCGTAAACGATATCAAAACAGGTACAAATTAATACATTTTAAAATATTTAAACTTTTATAAATTATTCTAATTAAACTTTTAAAAAATGAAAATAATTCTTGTAAAAATTCACTATTCATCGAAATATTTTTTCCTTTGAAAATAGTGCACATATTCGTAAAAGTAATTAAAAGCTTTACGAATTAAATAATATCTTAGTTTTATTGATTTTTTTATTTTACGATTTTCGATAACTGGGGCCCTGTTTTAGAAAAAATTGATAATTGAAATTCTCCAAAGACTTATGCTTATAACTAATATAAAAGTTACGGTGTGTCCGGGTACATTTTTGAACTGATCCATTCCTTCCGATTAAATCGTGAATTGAATGTTTTCCTGAACGCTCACTTGTCTAGATTCTTTCGTACTAACGCGGATCTCCCCAAGGGCTTCATCCTTGACCCTACCTTGTTTTTAATTTTCATTAATGACCTCCCCGATGTCATCAGCTCTCAACTTTGTATCTACGCTGATGACACAGCCTAGACAGTAAGGTTGATCAGTCCGACAAGGTCAAAATGGCAGCCGATGTCCAAAACGACCTCAAGTCAGTCGTTAATTGGGGCAAAAAGATGGCTTCTTAATTTTAAAAACTAAACTTCTCTCCATGAATCATCTGAGAACCCCCTCTCTGCCTTCTATCGGCATGGCTGATGCTAACCACCAGGAAAGAGACGCATTGTTCCTTCTCGGGCTTATGTTCTCTGCTGATACGAAGTGGGAAGACTATATTGGTTCTATTGCTAGGTCAGCTGCTAAGAAAGACGGTTTACTGTGTTGTGCGAGACAATTCTTCTCTTCAGAATCTATCTTACATATCTATAAGTCTACCATTCGTCTACGCATTGAATATAGCTGCCACATATGGCCCACCGACCCTGCTATTTACCTTTGGCTTCGTGATAAAATCCAAAGAAGAATCAGCAATATTATTGGTCCTGATCTGGTGTTTCGGATTCAGTCACTTTCACACTGCCGTAAAATGACCTCTCTTTGCCTTTTCTATAAATACTTTCATGGTAATTGCTCGGATGTGTTCTTCGCTATGGTGCCTGAACATTTTGAATTCAAGTGCAGTACTAAATTGGAGTCGAGGTCTCATCTATGTATAGTTGAGTTGGTTATATGTAGCCGTAAATTCTATGCTGACAGTATCTTTTCTGGCACTTCTCGCTTGTGGAACTCCCTTCCGGTTTCATGCTTTTCAGCCAACTTTAATCTGCAAAAATGTAAATGTAATGTCAATCTTACCGACTTCCTGATTACTCTTTTCTCGTCCAGCTTGTTATTAATGTTTCTCTTCCTATTTTTTCCACATTCTGTAACCTCTTGTGTCTTAGTGACTTTAATGCCTTGCTTGGGGTGATTATGCCTTACAAAAATGAATTTCTTGAAATGTTCTAAAATTAAATAAGTTGGGGGTTAACAAGGAAAAAAAAAATTATTAACATTTTTTTTTAAAAAAGAAACATTTCGCAAACAATTTAATTAATTTCTGAATAAGTCCTGAAATTTGCATTAAAATCTGGCAATTATTTGATTTTTCAAAGAATTTCAAAATGTTTTTCATTGCTAAAGGACGTTAAAATAACCTATATTAATTTATGGTTACCCGCTGGCGCAAGAAAAACAAAGAAAAACTTAATCAAAATTTCGACGGTTCTAAAAGGAATTAAAAAATATAACAACATTATAATGAAGCCCTACAAAAACCAATTTTCTCGAAATTTCATAAAATTAAATGAATGTGTGTCGAGGCAGGAGATGTGAATATATATATAAAAATTAAGACAATAAAGGTAATTAAAAGTTTTTTTTTCTAATTAAATAATGGCTTAGTTTTATTGCATTTTTATTCGGGGTCCTTATAAATAGAATTTGATAATTTAAATTCTTCAAGGAGTTCTGCTTTTAACTAATGTAAACATTAAACTTTACATCATCGAATTTCACGAATTATCATAAAAATTAACGAAGTGGTGTGTAACAGATGTAAAAAAAAGTATTTTTACCAAGATTTTCTAAAAACAGAGACTTTTCTAGAATAATGCCATTCATTTGTGAATAAATCCTGAAAGTTGCATTAAAATTCGACAATTATTTGATTTTTGCAAGAATTTTAAAATCAAAGTTTTTCACCGAAAAAAACCCCTAAAAAAACGCTAAAATTTCCTGTACTAATTCCTGGTCACCTGACGCAAGAAAAAATAAAACTTAACCAAAATTTCGACGGTTCTAAAAGCAATTAAAAAATATAATTTAATAATAAAAACATCACTTTGCCTTTCTTGTTAATAATTACACAAAGGATTTTGAAGATAAAACTGTTTTTGCTCAGTTTGAGTCATTTTTTTTAACATGCTTATTTTTTAGCAAAAGATTAGAGGTACCTTTATCTTGAATCCAAGAATTTAATTTTTTTTTGCTGATCGCTTCTTTTATGATGCCGTTGTTAATGACGAAATTCACCGCTAACGTGCAAGTTCAGGACTAGAAGATTTCAGTTTCACCAAAGCCTTGCCGCCAGTCATCCATTCCGTATCGCCGTTTTGAATATGCAAGTGCAGGTTGAAGGTGGAAGAAAATCAGAGCAGAAGAAAATGCCGATGGCGTGACTTGATAAAGGTGGATTTGAACTTGCCAGGAAGTGATCCACATACTTGATTGCCTAACCTTCCTCTGCAACGGACTGCCGCTGACTCGGTTATAATCTTGAGTGGCGCCTTCTGTAGCATGTCCGTCATGCGTAGCCCTCTTCATCAGCTGGTTCAACCGTTCAGATGTGTTGTAATCATCCACCGCTTGTTACATCGTTGGCGTCTTTCGGGTTGGTCACGCTTAGTCTGGGTCTTTATCCTTGACCTTGCCACCAAGAATGGCCTTATGAGAAGTTTAGAAATTCGAATGTACCTATATATATATATATATATATATATATATATATATATATATATATATATTCCATATATTGTCGTTAATATTCTTTTCGTTGATCCAAGGATTGTCTCCTGATGAGATGTTGGTTGAAAGGGCCTTAGGGACTTTTAAAATTAAAATCAATACATTCCTTGTTTTTAAAACTATATATATATATATATGCCAACATAAGTACTGTTGGTTGAACTACCCTGAAGATTCGTTAGTGAAACTTTGGTAGGTAGTAGTAGCTGGCTATATATATATATATATATATATATATATATATATATATATATATATATATATTCACTTTTATATTTACACACGCTCTATCACTTATATTGAGCACTTTATCCCATAAATATACTACATCTTAAGACTATATTTCTCCATATATATATATATATATATATAAGATTCATCAAAGATGATTGTCTAAAAAGTATTTGAACTTGAGGCAGACATTACAAGGAGGAATGTAAGACGCCTATGAAAATGGAGGAAGAATATATATATAGTGTAACACGGATATAAGAGACCCGGATATAAGAGAAACCCGGATATAAGAGAGATATTCTCTGGTCCCAAATTAGAGCCTGTGTTAATGTATATAAAATAGACCACATCCGGATATAAGAGAAAACCGGATATAAGAGACTTCTTCTCCGGTCCCGACAACTCTCTTATATCCGGGTTACACTGTATATATATATATATATGTGTGTGTGTGTGTGTGTGTGTGCGTGTGTGTGCGTAAGTGTGTGTATGTATGTGTGTATTTCATTGAAGACCACTGATAAGGCACTGCGATAAAGCATTTTATTAAATTCTTCTTGCATTCGTACAAGTATTTTCTTTATCTGGACGGAGAGTGGGAAAAACTGTCAAACTATTCTATTGGTCCAAGTGCTTTCAAAAAGATAAAAATATGAAGCAGACTCTTAATAATATCAACTGTGGACACGGTCAGAACACGATGACCGTGTTCGGAAATTAAAAAAAGAAACATTCTGATCCTTATAGATGCCCATATATAAAAATTTACACATTCAGTTAAAAAAAACCCTTAATAATGGCTAATATATTAGCCCAAATAGCTCGGATATATATGCGTATGTGCGTGTGTATTTATATATATATATATGTGTGTGGGTGTGTGTGTGTCTCGTCTATTTTTATTGACGTCATATATTCCCCCATGAAATGTCTGCCTCAAGTTCAGATATTTTCGCGACAAGTCCTATCAAGTCAAATAAATATTATGACTTGTTGGCAGACGCGATGTTTTTATGTGTAGAGGGACAAGGTTATTCCAAAAAGCCGAAATTCGACTCGAGTTGTGGTATAAAGAGAAATGGAAAAAGTATGTTAACACAGAGAGAGAGAGAGAGAGAGAGAGAGAGAGAGAGAGAGAGAGAGAGAGGAGAGACAGGGAGGGAAGATGGATTGAGTGAGGGAGGAATATAGAGAAAGGAAGAGATGAAGAAAAGAGAAGTGGGGGTATGAAGCAGAAACAGAAAGAGAGAAGTGGAGAGAGTGAGGCCTGAAGACAGGAAAAGAGAGAGGAGTGGGAGTGTAAGGCAGAGATAAGGAGAGTGAGGGAGGAAGAGAAAAGAAAAGAATAGAGAAAGAAAGAGAAAGGTGAGAGTGTGAAGCGAAATGGAGAGAGTGAGGGGAGAAGAGGGAGAGAGAGAGGTGAGTGTGAGACACTGAGAGAAAAGTGACAAAGAGGTGGGCGTGAGAGCCAGAGAAATAGAGATATGGAAAGTATGGAGAGAGGGTAAGGTAGGAAAGAGAGAAAGAGAATCAGGAATATATATATATATATATATATATATATATATATGTATGTATACTGGGTGTAACAGCAAAATTGTCCAAATCATGTAATGGCATAATTGTCCATCATACAAAAAAAACCACTAAATTAAATGAGTTTCTTTTTTTCGAGTTTGCAGATATGATGTTCAGGCATCTTGAGACCATTTTTTTCGTAAGATTCGCTGAAAAACCCTTTGAGTTATTCAACTAAAATAGAATAAGTTAAAATTGTTTTTGTCATGCCTACTGTCTTCCCAAATGAGCAATGGTGGGAGGAACAAGATCATTCGGACCTTCAGTAATGGTACCAACATTCATGCTCTGGATTTCATCTTCAAAATCCATTCAAGAACCAAAAAGAGAATGGTGAATATGTTTAAAAAACACGGGAACAGTAGAGCGGAAAACAGGATGAGGAGGAGCGAGTATCATTTCAACTTAGAGCTAAAGAGATCAATTAGAAAAGATCCAACTCCATTCATAAGACTTTTGGCACGTGTGAAGGGAGTTTCACCTGTGACAGTCCACGGAAATGAAAGAGGCTTGAAAATGAATTCGTACTTTAAATTTGTGAGGCACCTTGTTACTCCAGAACAGAAAGTTAGAAGATTAGAGAGGGAGAAGATCATCTTGAATAAGTTGGAAAATGAGACTGGAATACACACACACACACACACACACACACACACACACATATATATATATATATATATATATTCTTGAACTTTATTTCAATCTTTCATGAGATTCCGATCCTTAGCTATGATTAATGATGAAAATATAATTTTCATTTATGTTCGATTTCATCACGACGCCTATGTTAAGCTTGGAGAGCAATCAAACCTCATTCTTATTGCTCAAAGTAGAGGTCAATAGTGTTATAGAAACCTCGGAGTATTTCAGTAAGATATCTTTAATCATTTCTAAGATACAACGGTTTAGAGCTTAATCTAACAATTGGACAATTTTACTGTTAAATGATTTGAACAATTTTGCTGTTACACCAGTATATATATATATATATATATATATATATATATATATATATATATATATACACACACACACACACATATATATATATATATATATATATATATATATATATTCAGTCATGAATATGAGTTTGTAACACTGGGTTTCACGCTTTTGTGATCATTTTTCTGATGATCGCAAAAGCGTGAATACCAGCGTTACAAACTCATATCCATACGACTGAATATGTTAACTCTATCACTGATATTGAGCGATTTCAAATAAGTACTACGCATATATAATATATTGATTTTCCAAGCGTAGCTTAGATGTGGCACAAGGCCGAAACTAGGGGTGCCCAGTGAGACTCGAACTCACTACTCAGTCGTAATTGTTCTAGCGAGGCAAGCTTGCTAACCATGACACCGCCTCGATGTGTTCCCTTGAATATATAATATATATAGAAATTAAATTATATATATATATATATATATATATATATATATATATATATATATATATATATACGCTCTATAAAACCCTCAACACAAGTCAAATAGAGTATAATACTTCCCCAAAGGACAATAAATATATCAAACTACTATATTGTAACCAGGTGCTTGCTAACTACAAACAGGATGAAAAAATCATAAAGAATCTAATTTATACTAACATATCCTTCCATAGATTCTGATAAAAAATAAAATTTATTATATATTATAAAAATACAATACAACCAATTTAATTATTTGCAATAACTCTCCCTACCAACTGATGTATTACATAAAACCAACATTATATAACAATTCAAAGAATGTATCTCTGACAAAAAAAAAAACAAAAAAAACAAAGAACCCAAAAACAAAAAACCCAAAAACAAAAAACTACCCGCCTCCAAAAAAAACAAATATATATGTTGGGTATACGACACCTTCACTAACAAAAAGTCTTACAATACCCATGTCTTACCATTCACCCATTGCGAAGCATCTACAATAGCATTCCTGTCCACATTCACAATATAAAAAATTACTGCTCGACAACACAACTCTCCTACACCAAGAAAATAATAAATTTAAGCTACAGATCCTAGAAGCAATTTATATATATATATATATATATATATATATATATATATATATATATAAAATAAAGCCGGCACTGAACAGAATCAACTATGAATACTGCAGTAATGTTCTGAAATGTCAATACAGTTTTTCACGCTTTAATGTGTGCATGCACGTGACATTATAACAAATTCCTTAATGGATAATATTTTCACGTTCAAATGAACGCTCAGCACATTGTCAACCATTTGCATTTAAAAGCATAATGAAAAATTACGGTAATGGATAGCAACGCACAGCTTTATATAAATACTTGTACCCCAGAATAACATATAGTTTTGTACTACTTGCACCCCTGAAGATGATCTTAGAAGAAGATCGAAAGTACTTGGGAAATGAAAATAAAAGAAATGTAAACAGTTATAGCACATTTCTCTCATCCTTTAATATCAATATACGGAAGGTTATTCGTGAGTATGAGCGGATTTTGTTAAAAAGTAGCAAACATAATGTCTGTAATTTATTCAATCAGTCATCCCTAAAAAGAGAATTTGCTGGTTAAATACATATAATATATATATATATATATATATATATATATATATATATATATATATATATATATAAAAGTGAACACTGACGTCATCACTAAGGGGTGTTTCATGCTAGACGCAATCGTCAGGCCTGACGATTGCGTCTGCATGAAACACCCTGTCGCCTCTGAGTGTTGACTTCAATGTTCACTTTTATATTTATATTTACATACGCTCTATCTCTGATATTGAGCACTTTATCCCATAAATATAGCACACCTTAAAACTATATTCCTCTCTCTCTCTCTCTCTCTATATATATATATATATATATATATATATATATATATATAGAGAGAGAGAGAAAGAGAATTACGATAAATGGACAAAAAGTGTCAAGTTAATTTCTATGAAAGCAAACGTGGAAGTGCACAGAAACATAGGAGTAAAATTAAAAGTAAAAAACTGCTAAAATATCCCAGTTACATGTACGAAGGAAAATATTTGAAAAAAGAAGGAAAAAAAAGAAGAAGAGAATGAAAAATGCTAAAAGAGAAGGAATGAAAACAAGGGAAAGTTTTAAGAAGTGAAAGAATGACTAAGAGAAACATGTAAAAATGAATGAAGAAAGGAAAGATGGTAGGAAGAAACGAAACATTGGGGGAATGAAGAAAGGAAAAGAAAAAAATATGCTTTTAATGATTAAATAGAATGAAAACTTAAAGAAGAAAAAATGTGACAAGAAGGAATTCAGAAGAATAAAAAAGAAATAATTTTGATGGAAAAATAAGAAATGAAAGGAAGGAGAAAGCAAGAGAAGAAAGAAATGAATAAAGGAAGGAAGAAAGGACATATATATATATACATTATGGTGGCCTTGTTAGGGGCAGAAATATAGATACAAGAGAGGAATTGAGTTAAATATATTAACAGAAACAGTAATACAAACATATTCAAACGAGAGTGTTACAGCAAGAATGTTCGATCCGACTGATAGAGCTGACTGCTGGAAACTTCCTTCTCCAAAAAGGCAGTACCTGCTCCTATTTATAGCTGAGAGAGTCCATGCATGCGTGTGTAAATGACCACAACCCCCCCACATATATATATATATATATATAAACAGAGTATGTCTGTCTGTGTGAAATCTTTTCACTCGAGATTCGCATACAATGTAAGAGATTGTACAATGTAAGAGATTGGTTCTTAGCGTAAAAATCGGTTATTTAAAAAAAAAAATCAATAATCGATAAAGCCAATCGAAAATCAATGAATTCAACTTTTTTCCTCCAATTTCGTTCAGACTCGGTATGTAGATTACTTACATCATGACGAGCTCAACGATATCTCATTTTTATTTCTATGCCACTGTATTTAGCGAAAAACCACGAAAAATGAAAAATCGATTTCCACACAAATTTTAAACTAAAAAATCTCTAAATTTTCAAGCAATCTAATACAAACTTCACTCAATTGTAGCTAACAATAAGTTGATTGTCTAACAGCCATTTAACTTGTTAATTGAGCCCATCCATATAGTGAAAACCTGTGTAAATAGCGAAAAATGCCGATTTTTACTGGTTTCTTATTTTTCGTTAATCTTTCAACCAATTTTCATCAAACTTAAAAATTGCTTTATAAATTTATCCTCTTTTACTTCTCTGGTAGAACACTGGCAAATTGAATTTCAAAGACTCCAAAATAATTTTTGTCTGAAGTGGGTCTTCATGTCTGTTTTAACCCCTTAATGTCTTCGGCTAACTTTGATTGAATAAATACAGACTACTTCTGTTATATCAGTAACTGCATTAATTCAAAATGTTTTTTTAATGAAAGTAGTTTAAAGTAATTGAAGAAGGACTCTGTGACATCTAATTTTTGCTCCATTTTAATTGAATGCTTCTTCTGGTCAACTAGCTGGGTATGGCTGCTAGTATATATAAACGACTCAGACTGTCCTTTTATAAGATTTAACGCTGTGAAGCTTTTTTTTACCATGTCTAGGCAATCTAGACGTTGAGCACTTTTCTTTACTCAGTTGTTTGCCTTTGGAAATTTTACTTTCCTTATTCGAGATTTTCTCTTAATTAGGGTGTTAGTCTTTTTGGCAAGTTATGATGGTTACACCAATGTATTTGTTTTTTCTTTAATATGTATGTGTATATAGAACTACTGTTGGTGAGTCTCCACCGTCTCTCTGTTTATTTTTCGCATCCGCTGATGAAGAACACAGGCGTGTCCGAAAATTCCAAACTTGGAACCCTAATCTCCGTGCTTCCTTTTTGTCATAATTTCGTTTGCTTTTGTTTTTGTTTTATTAACCAACTTATCTACTCTATTATATATATATATATATATATATATATATATATATATATATATATATATATATATATATAAAATTTAAACACTAATATTCCATGGTCATGGAATATTAGTGTTTAAGCCTTTTTATTATTTCCTTACTCTGTCCTGGACATTGAGTTCTACCTGGATTCTATCCTCTTGGAAGTTTTTATCAAAAAAAATATACATGTATGTGTATGCACCTATGTATATATATTTATATATTTTACATATGTATGTGTATATTTACCACTAATATTATATATATATATATATATATATATATATATATATATATAAAAGTGAACATAGAAGTCAACACTTAGAGGCGACAGTCTGTTTCATGCTACATGCAATCGTCAGGCCATGTTCTATCTCTGATATTGAGCACTTTATTCTATAAATATAGCATACCTTAAGACTATATTTCTTTATATATATATATATATATATATGGGAATGTTGGTAGAATAGATAAAAAGAAAGAGATGGAAGAAAAATGGTGTTGAGAGAAAACAGATGAGAAAGAGATGAAAGAAATGAATGCGTGCAGAGTAAAGGAATGAAAAAAGAAAGATGGAAGGGAAAGCAATACGATTATAGAAAAGAAAGAGGCGAGAAAGAGATGAAAGAAATGAAGGCGTGTATAGAAAAGAAAGAAGAGAAAAAGAGGTGAATTTGGGTAGAGAAAAAAGAAAAAAGAAAGAGACAAGAAAGAGATGAAAGAAATGAAGGCGTGTATAGTAAAGAAAGAAGCGAAAAAGAGGTGAATTTGGGTAGAGAAAAAAGAAAAAAGAAAGAGACAAGAAAGAGATGAAAGAAATGAATGCGTGTATAGAAAAGAAAGAAGAGAAAAAGAGGTGAATTTGGGTAGAGAAAAAAGAAAAAAGAAAGAGACAAGAAAGAAATGAAAGAAATGAAGGCGTGTATAGAAAAGAAAGAAGCGAAAAAGAGGTGAATTTGGGAAGAGAAAAAAGAAAAAAGAAAGAGACAAGAAAGAGATGAAAGAAATGAAGGCGTGTATAGAAAAGAAAGAAGCGAAAAAAAGGTGAATTTGGGAAGAGAAAAAAGAAAAAAAGAAAGAGACAAGAAAGAGATGAAAGAAATGAAGGCGTGTATAGAAAAGAAAGAAGAGAAAAGAGGTGAATTTGGGAGAAAAAAAAAAAAAAAAAAGAGACAAGAAAGAGATGAAAGAAATGAAGGCGTGTACAGAAAAGAAAGAAGGAAAAGAGGTGAATTTGGGAAGAGAAAAAAGAAAAAAGAAAGAGACAAGAAAGAGATGAAAGAAATGAAGGCGTGTATAGAAAAGAAAGAAGAGAAAAAGAGGTGAATTTGGGAAGAGAAAAAAGAAAAAAGAAAGAGACAAGAAAGAGATGAAAAGAAATGAAGGCGTGTATAAAAAAAGAAAGAAGCGAAAAAAGAGGTGAATTTGGGAAGAGAAAAAAAGAAAAAAAAAGAGACAAGAAAGAGATGAAAGAAATGAAGGCGTGTATAGAAAAGAAAGAAGCGAAAAAAAAGAGGTGAATTTGGGAAGAAAAAAAAAAAAAAAAGAGACAAGAAAGAGATGAAAGAAATGAAGGCGTGTATAAAAAAAGAAAGAAGGAAAAAAGAGGTGAATTTGGGAAGAAAAAAGAAAAAAAAAAAGAGACAAGAAAGAGATGAAAGAAATGAAGGCGTGTATAGAAAAAGAAAAGAAGCGAAAAAAAAGGTGAATTTGGGAAGAGAAAAAAGAAAAAAGAAAGAGACAAGAAAGAGATGAAAGAAATGAAGGCGTGTATAGAAAAGAAAGAAGCGAAAAAAAGGTGAATTTGGGAAGAGAAAAAAGAAAAAAGAAAGAGACAAGAAAGAGATGAAAGAAATGAAGGCGTGTATAGAAAAGAAAGAAGAAAAAAAGGTGAATTTGGGAAGAGAAAAAAAAAAAGAAAGAGACAAGAAAGAGATGAAAGAAATGAAGGCGTGTATAGAAAAGAAAGAAGCGAAAAAAAGGTGAATTTGGGAAGAGAAAAAAGAAAAAAGAAAGAGACAAGAAAGAGATGAAAGAAATGAAGGCGTGTATAGAAAAGAAAGAAGAGAAAAAGAGGTGAATTTGGGAAGAGAAAAAAGAAAAAAGAAAGAGACAAGAAAGAGATGAAAGAAATGAAGGCGTGTATAGAAAAGAAAGAAGCAAAAAAAAGGTGAATTTGGGTAGAGGAAAAAGTAAAAAGAAAGAGACAAGAAAGAGATGAAAGAAATGAAGGCGTGTATGAAAAAGAGGTGAATTTGGGTAGAGAAAAACTGAAAGAGACAAGAAAGAGATGAAGGAGATGAATTAGTCTAGGGAAAAGAAAGGAAATAGAAATAGATGAAAAAAAAACTTATGCTGTTGATCGGCTAAAAAATTGATGAAGGTAACGAATTCGGATAGAGAAAAAAAAAGAAAGAAAAAGAGATGAAGTGAAAGCATGTGGGCAGAGAAAAGAAAGTGAAGAGAAAGTGATTAAAGAAAAGAATGCGTGTAGAAAAAAGACACAAAAGATAAAGAGATTAAGAAAAAGAATAAGGCTGGGGAAAAGAAAGAAAAGTGTAAGATAAGAAGGAAAATATGTGGGTAATAAAAGGAAAGAAAAGAGAAAAAAAACTGACATAAATCAACGCTTGTAGAGAGACAAAAGTAATCCAAAGATATGAAATACTAAGAGTGTGAGAAAAGAAAAGAAAGAGAAAGCGATAACGAAAAAGAATGTATGTCGAGGGAGGGGTAATGAAATGAGGTGTAGTCAAACATGGACAGAGAGACGCTAGTAGAATGTCAGCAAGTCGACAAAGTAATGCGTCAGAGAAAAGAAAGAAAGTAAGAATGAAGTAAAAATGAAAAAAAGTAAGAAAGAAAGAAAGAAAAGAAAGAAAGAAAAACGAAAGAAAGAAAAAAATTCCATAACATTTTGTATAATTTAAAAGTCACGTGATTGCAGATAATTTTGACCTTGTCGCCATTTATTTTATTTGGCGTTTGCGATTTGACAAGAGCAAAAATAGTCTGGAAGGTTTTAAGTCGAACGACGTTAAGTTTGCTGAATGCTGAAAACATTATCTATCTTTCCCTAAGTTCACCTCTTTCCGTCTCTGTTTGTTTTTCTATCTATCTATATATATATATATATATATATATATATATATATATATATATATATATATATATATATATATATATATATATATATATATATATATATATATAATAACGCTCTTCATTAAGCAATATTGAGCAATATGGCTGTCTGGCGTTTGTTTACATTCGTAAAAATTATACACTAAAACTTTTCTGACTCTCTTGATAGCTCAAGGGTAGGAACTACGACTGATACAAAATCGGTCGAGTTTCGATCCCGACTTGAATCAATCGGATGTCCAGCCGCACTGATGAGCTGTGGAACAGGCCTGTATACTGATGACATTATATATGTGTGTATATATATATTTTTTTTTGGCGGGGGGAAGTAAAGTCTGATGATCCGCAGTCCTTTTAAAAGGGTGTGGTGAAATAATTTATTACATGGAAACTTAAAGTGGTCTTTTTTTTATTTAAATTATATATATATATATATATATATATATATATATATATATATATATATATATATATATATATCGAACATATATGTATATGTATATCTCGAAACATAAGCTCATATTGTTTTTTTAAGCGAAATTCAAAGACAATATTTAGATATTTATACATAGATTTATTCATCTGCACATGTGTCATTTTGTTCGGCTACCGTTCGTCTTCTTTATGACAAACACTTCAAAAACAGTTCAAACTTCAATCAATGTAAAACATTGAGCTAGCTTTATATCATCACACATAACACTGTATTTGGCTAACAAATTCCATAAGTCCTTTCTTCTTACTTTTTTCCATATTGGTTTAAAATTCCATTCTTGTTGGCATTAGTAGCATCAAATATTTATCATTGTATTGTAACCAATGCTTTGTTGATCTTCCTGTTTGTAAAACTCTGATTAGAAATGTACTTATCCAAATAGAAATCTATGTAATATCTTGAGGAAGTAATCTTATTCTTGGTCTAATGACCAAAGATAAGATTACTATTTGTTATACAAATATGATTATTTAGGTCAGAATGACTACCAAATTTGTGCAGACAATTGGTTTCTATTACAAATATTTGTTTCTTTCTAAATTCTTAGTTATGTCTCATCAATTTGAGTTCAACTAATTTAAAATGTGTTAATGTTTTTAAATTTTTTTAGTGAAATGATGTCACATTTCCTGATAATAAGTTGTGATTTATCCTGCCTTCTGCTTCACACTGATGATGCAACTTGAAGTCTAATTAATTGTTTATAATAATAATAAATGCAGAAAACAAAAGAAATGTTTGCCTATTTTTCTTTTTAAATTTATTTTTAACGGCACCAGCTGTTCTTAATGTTAATGAAAATGTTGTGGCAGTTTGATGTGACAATGTAGGAAAAAAAAAAAAACAAAACAAAAAAACATATGGACTGAAACTGTGTTCATATTGACAGTAGAAGATTACAGGTGGTTTGATAAGGGATGATCCATCAGTATGTGTATTAATCCTTATCTATATTAATAAAGTTTTGATGATAATCTGTTGGAATGGTAAATACTTAATGCAATTGAGAAAACTTTTATTTTAAGGCAAGAAAACTTTTAATTTGACATGTTAAATGGATGAATCAGCTTCACCAGAAAAAGAATTGTTTGCCCACCCCCTATATTTGGTAAAACATTCTAAAAGTTAAATGAGGGAATATACAAATATAAAAGTGACTTAAATTTTAACAACACACTCAATGCATTTGTATGCTACTGGAGCTTTCATGATCATAAATTTGACTTGGAAAATACCATTTTAATAAAAAAAACATCAATATACGTAACTCAGAAGATATATTGGAAGTACCCTGATTTGTAAGTAGTCGACAATATACAACAGAGCTATTTCAGTCTATCATATATTCTTACTAAATTAATACAGAATGTTTGATATGAAAACCTTAAGGTAAATGATTACTTTAAAATAAAAATCATTTTACCCCAAACAAGGCAATAAAGCCACTAAGGTGCAAAGGGATTACTGAGAGTGAATGAAAGAGAGGGCAATAAAAAACAGGATTCGAAGAGACAGAAGATAAGCTGTAAAATTCAATCAATGTTAATGTTACTGAAAATGTTGTGACAATGTAGGAAATTAAAAAACATATGGATTGAAACTGTTTAGATTGACAATGGAAGATTACAGGTGGTTTGATAAGGGATGATACATCTGTCTATGTATTAATCTTTATCTATATGAATAAAGTTTGGATGATAATCTGTTCGAATAGTAAATATATAAGGCAACTGAAAAAAAAATCTTTTATTTTGACATGTTTCACTGGTTATCACAAAAAGAATCCCCCTGCCAAAAAAATACATTGGTGAAATATTCAGAAACTTAAATGAAAGAAATACAAACAGCTTAAATTTTAACATCACACTCAATGCACTTATATGTCATTGGCACTTTTGTGATTATAATTTTGAATTTCAAAATGCTATTTAAATAAAAAAAAATGAATATGAGAATTGACCTTGCACCTAAATGTGGGATACGTAAAACACTTAAAATTTGAATTGAAATTCCTTAAAATCAATTTTCAATATGGATCCATTTAAAAGTAAAAGCCATCTGTTCAAACGCTAAACCTGAATTACGTTTCATACCGAAGATGTGGATTTTGTTCCTGTGAAATATAATTTGTTCCTGGTGACGCTGGTACATCGGTGAAAGATGACAAAGTATTTTTTTTCCTAAATTTTCTTATATATACAATATATTTCCGCGTATAAAGCGACCTTTAGATAAGACGCGGTAAAAAATATAGCAAATTTTCATGAATTTATCCTAGACCGGTAGTATAAGACGACTGCTTATTAATTATATAAAGATGATGTAACTGAAAATGTTGTCACGAACTGTATCCTTAGAAATTCAAAACAAACGAAATAACAAAACCGATTCTATATCATGTTTTTTCCTACACACGCCCCCCTAAAAGGGAAACTGTTGTTTTGTTTAATTTCATCATGTGATCTCTTGCAAATACTGATTCTTCTTCTTCTTTTCCTATATCTAAATAATTACAAACAGCCTGGTGTACTAATGGACATTTACTTATACTTCCTCGACAATCACAAAATACTGCTAATAACAGTACGATAATAGTACATTCCACTTTCAATATTTTTTAAAATTCGTAATCATAACTCAATGTTTATATTTTCCCAACTGAGCCTCCATAGATACAAGTTGATTTCATTGATTTGGAATTATTCGTCGTATAGGCAATTAATTATGAAGTTATGCCAGCAATATATAAGTTAGAAATGGTTTTAGTACTTTTATTATCAGTTTATTTGATAATGTGAAACTTTTCATGTATGTTATTGGTTGTCGAACTGAGGCTGAGTTTAGCCTAACGACAAACATTTCTCAGAATTTAAGAGTTGTTTTTTAGAATTGTAGTATAAGACGACATCCAATTTTTAAGGCTGATTTTTGGGATTTAAAGGTCGTCTTATACGCTGAAATATACGGTATAGACAATATATTAGGTTGAGTTTATGTTTATCAACTTTATTCATAAAACAATAAAGTACAATTACTGTTAATTATCTATCTATCTATCTATCTCCGTCTATTCTATCTATCTATCTATCTATCTATCTATCTATCTATCTATGTTAGCCTATACATTATCTATCTATATACATAGATATATATCTATCTATATACACTATTTACATTGTTCAGACTGTTGTCCTCATCTTTATTGCCGTATCCACGACGTTTCTACCGATGTACGCTCCGCCCTTCTTCAGGTCATATTTCCCTTTATTTAGTCCACGGCAGTAGATTGTTCTAATTCCACGTGCCATACCTTTGGATGTCTCAGTTTCAGTTAATTCCCCGTGGTAACTCAACTCACCAACGTTTTTGTTCCCTCTGCTGTGGCCAGGTATTGAACCCACAACTCTTTGGGTCAAGTTATTTTGGATCTATCAGCCAACGCTCGGTGGGTCATATGTCGGGGCGGTGTCACCTGTAGTGGAGGGCAGTATCAGGAGACTACAATTCGTAAGGCAGGTTCAGAACCTCATCGATGCGAATCCTGGGGCGTCCATGAGGGCCACTGCTAGACGTTTTCAGGTGCCCGAGGGCGCAATCCGCAATGTGCTGCATGAGGACATTCGGTCATACGTGATAAGGAAATGGCAGTTCATGCCTTCACACACACACACACACACACTAGAACAACGGTTGCTTCGAGCAAAACGATTACTAAACGAGTTGAAACACCCAGAAGAACTTGGCTTGCATTTTTTTTTCAGACGAAATAAATTTCAACCAGGATTAAAAAATGAGCTTT